ATTTAATAATATTCGTCACTACCGATGAGGTGATTTAATGTTTTTAAGCATATTATTTATCAACTTATTGTTGTAAAATCAGATATAATTAAAAGACTGCCAATTAAATATGATTTAAATTACTAATATATTATTTTTTCTTATTAGTTGATAAGTTATGAAAATATAAAATAATATTCATCAACTTATCGAAAAATTAGAAATATTGAATATCAATTGAGTAAATATGATTAAATTACTTATATTATTAACTATAATACAGCTTAGAAATGTAAAAATAAATATAATAATATTCGTAGATAGTAAAAAGTGGTTTGTTTGTATGCTAAGGAGGGTACATTTATTATATACAAATATGTTAATATTTATAGCATGATAATAAAATAAAAATATGTATAGGTCTAAAAAAAATTACATATAATACTCATATAGGTAAGTTGGTCTACAAATAATACTAATTTACATACTAAAGAATTTACTTAGGATCAGATTAACTGTCACATAATTTATGAAAAGGTTTTTCTAAAGCATATTTAAATCAGATTATATAAATAGGAGGAAGATTTTTTTATAAATAATTTTATTCATATTGCTTTACAATGATGTATTTGTTATGGAAATTACACGATTAAGAAGATCTGTCAGGTATTATATAAAATATATGAATGATTAAATATGAGGATAAATTCAAGTATAAAATAGAATGTTTTATGAGAGAATATTTAGTTTGTTAAAATGCATTGCCCAGAGCAGTATGTTAAAGATAATGGTCTGCAACGGAAGGATGCCAAGGATATTTCAAATACATATATTAAAAAAATGGTTTGGAAATCTAATGAAATAGTTTTAGACATAGGATGTGGACCAGGCGATGTAACCTCAGATATTCTTTATCCTTTATTAAAGAATAAGATCAATCAGTTGGTTAGTATAATATATTTTAATATTTTTTAAAAGTAATTTGTATTTATATTAATATTTTTTTTTTTAGGTTGGTGTTGATAAATCAATAGAAATGATTGAATATGCTAAAAAAACATATGGATGCTCCAAGATAGATTTCAAAGTTTTGGATATTGAAAATGCCAATGATTGTTCTTTTTATTTGCACAGATTTAATAAAATATTTTCATTTTTTTGTTTTCACTGGGTTTGTAATAAAGCTGATTCTTTTTGTAATATGAATTTGATGTTGAAAAGTGGTGGAGAAATTTTGTTAACCTTCTTGTTTATCAATCCAATAGTTGAATTGTATAAACGTATGGATACAGAATGGCAAAAATATATTAAAGTGAGTATTTATGTTATTATTTTTTTCTTTTCAAGTTTATTTTAATATAATAACTTTTTGTATATAATTATTTATTATGATATTTATACAGTAATTTGTAAATCATCAAGAAAAATTAAAATTTCTTAGGCCTTGGTTTTATTAAAATTAATTTATTGATATAAAAAGTTAAAGCAAATTGTTATTGGTTTATTTTTGCTTTTTAAATGTATGATCAGATCTAGATAGAACTCGTGAGTTACCAAGTATGACTTGGTTGGTTAGACATTATTTTGATAAATTAAGTAAATTAAGTAATTAATTTAATTGTTCTAACCCATTTTAATAGATTTTGTGTTAATAAGAATTCTCTAACTTAGTGAATCGGTACTTATTATATCTGGAACTGTGATAATGATCAAAATGATAACTTTACATATTCAATTTTTTCATTTTTTTAATTATATTTTTTATAATAAACACAACAAATTATTTACAGGATTTAAAACAAATATCATATGATTTTTACTCACAAGATAAAATGAGAGAAACTATTATCAAGGCTGGATTTCGAATTATTAATTTAGAATTAAGTGTCAAAAAATATACATTTCCAGACATGTCATCACTTTTGAGTAATTATGACCACTTGTTTTTTTTAATCTTAAGTTTCAACAAAAATGATTTTTTAACTATTTATAATTATTTACTCTTCATATTTTATAATTCATGCTTTAAATTGAATCTAATATCTAATTTCATAAACTTGAATATCTATGCTATTGTTCTCCTCAAAATGTTCAAGTATTGAAAGTCTTTAGTTTTTAATAAAAACTTATCAATTTAAACAAAAATCATGTCAATTTATTTTTAATTTATTAAAAAAATCTGATTTTATCCTAATATTTTTTATTTCAAATTTATATAAATAAATACACTTTTATTCATGCATTTCATTATATTTGGCTTATGAATAATATAGAATATTAAAAATTTAATTATGTAATAATTATTATTTACTTTTATTGATAAATTTTTATAACTTCTGTAATAACAATGAGTTTGGTTTATGTAGTTAAAAAATTATACTGTCATTTTACTTATCAAATAACCTAAATATTGCTTATTGCTATAATATAATTTACTATTTCATTATATTAATAATTTTTTCATATCTAAATTTATCTGTTTAATTTAATTTTTGTAACTAACTCCCTATTGTTCAGTTTAATGATTTAAAAATTAATCTGAATAACTCACACAATATTCCACTTTTCTATTAAATATAGTACATAACTTATGTATTAATAATTTAACCTAATCTTTATTTATTCTTTTTTTTTTTGTCCATTTAATTGTAATATAGTATTCATTTACTAGTAAATTCTCATCTACTTCATTTAAAATTCTTCAACACAATTAAAATTTTTAGATTATTTTTTTATTTAACCTCTTGTATTTTGCTTATGTATATTATATATGACATACATTTTTACCTAATGATTATTATAAAACAGAACTTTCTTTAATTCTGTTCACTTAATCTAAAGTAAATATTCATTGATATATAATAAATTAGTTTTCTTTAAAAATTTTTATTTAACTTTTATTCTGTTCTTTATCTAACCATTATTTAATTTATAATAAACAAATGATATCCAATGTTTTATTTTGAGTGTCTCGAAACCTAATTAGTATTTAGAAAATATGTTAGTTTTAGATTCTTTAATTTTTAATATATAGTTTATAGAACCAACTTAAGTGATACAATACTAGATTTACAAACTAAAATTATCTTTTTTAAATTGCTTAACATATACAGGTATATCCCTCTTTAAATAATTTTGGCCTATGATGCTAAATCACATTTTAAAATCAACCCTCCATAAAAATAAGTTAAGTTTTCTGGTCTATTCCATTTTTTATCAATAGCTTAGAATTGTAAAAATATCAAAGAAAAGTATTTCTGTTACTACAGTATTAAGCTATTAAATAACCTAGATATTAAAAGTTTTCAAACATTTTTGTTGCAACTTTAAAAGTAATTTATTTTTATATTGTTTCTTGATTATTTATCTTGTTTATTATTTATGTTTAATAGGTGCCATTAAATCAGTAGATGATATGTACAATATTTTGCCACAACATTTACATGACAGATACTCCTTACATATTAAGGATAAATTATATGAGACAAAAATGATTGAAATATGTCCAATTACTGGAATAATAATCAATCCATATCTTACTATTACTGTGCATGCTATCAAAGATTAAAGTTTAATTCAGAAATATTAAATATCATGATACTTTTTAGGTTACTTTATAACTAAGTATTATTAAAGAATTAGAATAATTAAGTAAAATTCCTCTATTTATACTAAGAGTATTACTTTGGGACGTGTTATTATAAAATTCAGTGACAGTGGGTGGACTACACTTCCTTAAAAATTGTGTTCAATTATTGGTTGAGAATCTACCTACTGAAAATCAGTAGTTGCTAAGAATTTTTTTTAATATACATTGACTATATTATATTATATGAGGTGTATAAAATAATTTATATTGTCATTTTCCTAATTTCATTCAAAAATTTATTAAACTAAACTATAAGATAACATCTTTAGAAATGTTTATTTTAAATTATTTTTAAATTTGAAAATATTACAATCCAATTTTTAATAAATTAGATATAATGTATCAATCCTATATTATATACAAAATTATACATTACCAATATAGATTTAACTAATATTGTAGTGATATACTCTCGTGTTAAACTCAATACCAAATTAAAAGATTTTAAAAAAAATGTATTTTAAAAATATATATTTTAGTTTTTAAGTGGTCATCCCCCTTATTTGTTTTCATATCTTACAAATGCATGATATAGCAAATATATTCTAAGCATTTAGCTTAATTAATTGTCAGTAATTTTTTGTAATTTTTGTTTTGTTGTTTAAATTTTGAAGCAAGTTATAAAAGTATATAAATTATTAATTTAAGTTAAAAAATGCTTAATACTTCCAATAAACCACATATAATGAGATTTCCTTTAGTTCAATTGTACTGATATTAAAAATGATTGCTGAGCGTAAATTTGCTATGTTATGTCTTATAAGTTATGAGCTAAAGCTTATACACTTATGTAAGATTTGGACAACAAATTTAAGTCAGACATCCTTTTAAATAAATTTATTTAGAAATATTGATTTGATTCTTTGTAATTAACTTAAAACTAGTAAGAACCATTGGATACCATTTAATTAATTTAGTTATAATTGAATTTATTCATTATATTTTTGCTAGAATAGTTGTGATTAGATTTATATTATATATTAGATACATAACAATTTATGCATAAAAAACTAAATACAGTAGGGTCTTGTTAATCCAAACACAGGCTAATCCGAATGACACAGTAATCCGAACGGGCTTGGAAATTTCCACATCGCTATACTAATACACACATGTATCATAATTCATAATAATATGCAATATAAGTACTTATTAACTGGCTATTTATACATAATTATAATGATTTAATTGATTTTGATTGAATTCATTGTGTTTTTCAACAAAGAATTTTATGAATTAATACTGCAGTATGAATAAAGATTAATTTCAAAATTTAAATTTCAAGAAAATTGATTTTTTTTTAAGTCATAAGTAATCTGAACAAATTTTTAATCCGAATGATCCCTTTTCTCATTCTTTTTAGGATTAACGAGACCTTACTGTATAGTGGCTTATTAATTAATTAAATGAATAAATTTGCTAATTGAATATATTTTGTCCTTAAAATAAAACTCATGTGTTGATTCTAGCCTTTTATAATTGGAATAATTTGTATATTGTTCTTATCACATTTAACTATAAACATTATTCTAGTTCTTAAAAAATTAATTTTTAAATATTAAATTTGTTCTTAATTTATAAAAATTAAATAAAAAATTTAAAAATAACAAAGTTTTTCTTGTTGTGTTTAAATTGTTTTTAGGAAAACATTATGTTTCGTTTAGGTGTTGACAAACTTTTGCCTTTGCTGTATGTTATTACTTTCAATATTAGATTCCCAGTATGTATTATGTAATTCCCAATTTTTTTACATTATATTTTTCATATTAATCAAAAACATTATTTTTAAGATTATATATTTATGGCTTAAATCTTAAATAATTTTTAATATCATATGATCCTTAGTTGTTTCACTCTGGACAAACAATAACAACAAAAAATCCACTAAAAGCATATTTTTAATGTTTAATTGTCTATTGATATGCTACTTCTACATTCAGTCATGATCTTATCATAGATGAAATTTCCTGTAAGCTTGCAAAAAGAAAAATCCAAAATTCTAAAATATTTATTTCTAGTTATCTTTTTTATCTCTAACCTAATACTGTTATTATTTTCCACATTTATGGTAATTTTCTATAGGTATAATAATATCTATATCTTATAAACCCCTTAATTCTTTTCATTCTTATATGAACTATAGGTCTTTCATAATTTTCTCAAGGATTTGAAATTTTTTTTGTTAAAACATTTTACTAAAGAAATCTTATTCGACTTATACTATGTGATTTGAGAAGGGATCCCATATGTCCCGTATTTTACTGGATTGTCTCATATTTGAATGAAGTATCCTGGTGTCCTGATGCTAGTTTAAAAATAATACTTTTGTCCCATATTTTGGATAATCTGTCTCGTATGTACCTTATTTTAAAAATTAAATTTTTTCATATCATTTAAGTTTTTACCTAAACCATTATATCTAAATCAAATGATAATTAATAATTATTATTTGATTATGATTGTGTTTAACTTTATTTTATAATATATTTAGTGACTGTGAGAAAAATGAAATGTTACATCAAGGCTAAAATATGTAATTTTAGCTACCAAATGTTTGCAAAGAATCAGTATGACAAACATCACATGTTTAATTTTGTAATATTTTAATTGCCTTGCCCCTTTTCAAAATTAACATCAATATAAATTATAAGTATATGTGTGATTTAAAATGCCTCGTATTAAAAAATAAAATAAATCTGGGATCCCTAGAATTAAGGAGCAAACATTCTATTATACCAACAAATTTATAGTCAATGAAATTTCCTCTTTGAAAAAAAAAACAATTTCTTATGAGTGGTTTCCTGAGTGCAACAGCCATTTTACAGCGTGATATCCAGGTCAATAAATGTTATTGAATAACAATAATAATTTGAAATTTTATTTTTATGGTAAAACATTTTTAATTTGTGAGAATTGTTGTTTCTCGTTGAAAACGTAACGAAAAAAAATATAGCCTAAAAAAGATATTATATAATGTGTATAAATGATGTAAATTATTTTATAAATATTGTCCATATTGTTTATAGTTGAGATAATAAGGCCATAAAGGAACTTAAGCCTCTCAAAAAAAATTTAATTTACCTTTTTACGCCTATAATACTCGATATTTCATATCAAAATAATCGTTAATATCAAGAAACCACAAAAACTTCCAAAGTCATATTTACGTATTCCCTTCGACCATATGAACAACTTTATTTCTTAGTTTTAAGTTTTTATGGTTGACGTTTACTCTAATTAATTTTGTATTGGTTAAGTTCTATTGGAAAAATTAGTTTAAACACCATGAAAATATACTGTAATAAATTCACTACCGTTTGTTTACCATATACTGTCAGGGTTAATATATTTTATAGATGGCCATTAAAGGAAAAACCGTGCAATTTAATTCATTGTTCTTAACAAAACAATGCTGAAAACATGCTTTTGTCTATAATATATATATAAATAACATATTGTATATAAAATTCATTTAAATGTATAATTTTTAGTACAACTAAGAAATAAACTACCATACTTATGTAAATATAAGTTAATAGTGTGTCAATGGTATTTTAAGCATGAATAATAAATGGCTTGAAATCGATCATTAAATTAATCGATTTTTTTATACAACTTGGCTTTAGTATACCTATTACTCAAAGTGACTAAAAAGTAAAATAGACTATACAGTGGTTTATTTTTTTTTAGATATTCTGGTTTTAATAAGAGCTACTTAAGAACTTAACCTATGAAAATATCGTACCTATGTGTATATATTTAAACTTCTAGTAAGTTATTCTTATGTATACAATCTTATATTAAATTAAAATTTCATTTTTATCAACCAAAAAATGTATTTAAATGACTGTACTTTCTTATTTAAAAAAAAAATATCTTGTTATGTTCTTCAATATAAATAACGGTATTAAAATAATAAACATCTGTTTACTAAACCCGGGATAATGAACGTCACCGAATACGATGAAATGCGCCCCCGTCAGTGTGGTCATTACATACTATTAAATTTGAGGATATTAACACTTCGATATTGTCTTTCAACGCAGTACTGTACCTATATTGCCTATTTGTTACGCCGTGCAATACGCATTACGTGCAAGTTTGCCACATAAGATTAAGTTTTTGTTAAAAACTGGGAAAGTCGCTCTACCGCATTACTTGTTTTGAGAGTATTTCGTTATTGAGCATAAGTCACTGTTTCGATGGACGTGTCAAATTCAATTTTGATTATAAATCATAACGTACTAAACATGTTTCTGAGCGAATAGCTGAACGTTTATAAATTATTGCCAACCCGTCACATTTCGCCCGTGATTGGGTTGTTTATTTTGCCTTCGAACAATGATATATTGATATGTAGAATTTTTTATTCAAATTTTATCGTTTAATAATGTGATCGGCTAGAAAATATAAAAAACGGTTAATGAAAACGTATCGAAATGTTTCTAGCGGTGTTAAGTATTTTGATAACTTCTTTAAAAAAAAAAATTGGAAAAATATTAAATAGTGTGATCAGAAAATTGGGATACTTAAATAAAATACACCCCCTCTTACCCTTCCAGACTAAAAAAAAATAATTAAAAATCAGGTGATGTGGTGACATTCAAGAGGGTATTTGGAACAACTCTGTGAAAAAAAATGGAAAAAATAAATAAATAGTGTTGTCACAAAATGGAAAAAAAAAAGGCTTGTCTTTGCAGACCTTGCAGAGAAGTCCCCCAAAAATTAGCTTTGTTCTTAATTTTTCAAGATTTTTATTATTAACTTTTGAGTTAATTAAATCTTACCTAACCTTTATAAATAATAGTCTAAAACAAAGATTCAAGTGTTGCTATAGAATACCCATTACGAGTAGTCATTACCCAGCAACACCCGTAAGCACGTCTATGAATATTAATATTATGTATCTAACTGCAGCCATATGCTGCAAAACATGTAAAATATTTATATGAAAAGATTATATAATAAAACACAAAATGTGTGTACAAATTTTGATCAATAGATATATTTTTAATATCAAAAAAAAAAAAAAAAAAAAAAAAAAAATACATATAAAATCAAAATCTATAAAATAAAAGTTTCAAAATGTATTATTATAAAAAAATACGAAAATACAAAAATACCTTACTCGAATTTAGGGTTAAAATATAGCTATGTTTTATTATAAGGTAAAGTAATAATGCACAATTCTATACAAATTCATTAGTTATGATAGTTGA